AAGGTTGTTGCTCCCAGTGGACATCTGATAAACACACCTCAGCTAATGAGTGTGCAGACTGACACCCAGTAACTTGCTACTTCTGTCCTGAACAGCAAGATGCCAGTGTAAAATGGAGCCCAAGGAGCGGAGTAACTGCGGCTACCCGGGAATCACAGCAGAGCAGTGCAGGAAAGCTGGGTGCTGCTTCAACTCTTCAGTCCCTGGCGTTCCCTGGTGCTTTTCTCCTAAAGCAAAGAAAGGTAGTGTCTCTGATTGTGAGGACATGTGTATAACAGTGGAGCAGCTCTGCTTTTCTCTTTAGGCCAAAAAAGCTGGCACAAACCTCTATTAGAAGGTCACTGGCAGTAGAATGCAAAGTCAAACCTTGTTTATACATAAGTCTTCTGTCTCATCCTTTTTACACAATATATTTCCTTTTCCTTCAGGCTTCTAGTTATCAAATAACCCATGCTGATTATTTAAAACCTTTTCACTGCCATTTATGTTCTTGTTCATCAGTAGAGCAGGGGATCCTCAGCACTTATTTAAATGGGTTTTCATTTGTGGCTGAGGAGGACTTTAGCACTGTATGTCAAAGTCCTGAGTACATGAGTCCCTCTGTAGTTGTTCGACACCTGTACGAAAGACCAAGGGCATCCTATAACTTCTAGGTTTTTCGCTCTTTTCTGTGGACTGTTTTGATAATTGCTACTTCCTTCTACTCTTCCTGTTTACCAGCCTAAGTCCACTCAGTGGTTCTTTTTTTCTCTCCCATTTTTGCTCCCAGTCTTCATTCAAAGAAATCTCAAAGTACCCCTGGGGAAATCTTTATCTCCATTAGGTTTTTCCTTCTAAAGCTTCTGAAGTCCTGCTTCCATTTTTTTGCCTTTGTTTTCTCAGAGGGCAAGAGTTGCTCTCCCAGTCCTTCAAGGAATGGGTGTGTATTTTACACAACTCCTGAATGTAAGCTACTTTTGCTGGGCTGGCTGTGTGACTCTTTCTTAGGAGAACTTCAGGGCAATCTCAGCAGTTGCACAGGTGAAATGAAAGGAAGTGAGGGTGCAAAGGCAATGTTACCTAATGAAAGAACTTGATATGAGTTGACTGGTCAACAGGGCTCAGAATTGTCGGAGGAAAAAAGGGTTTGCTTTTGAACACTGTTTGCATTTCATGAAAGTAATGAAAAACAAATGGCAGCACTTACAGTGCCATTTCATAGACTTGCTTTTCTGAGCAGAACTGTTTCAGGAGAGGAAAAGTGAATTGTTCAGGCTGGGTGGTACAACTTCTTTACTTGTGATTTTACTTTAAATGGCCTGCATGAGCTGTGATTTCCTCCTAAATGGCCAGCATCCTCAACTCAAGTTGGTATGCTGAGGAGGCTGGGATTTCCTCTCCCCATAGTAGCCAGGCTATAACCTGGTCGGAGGCCAGGGTCTGCGGTACCATTATGGGGGACACATGGCTTTTCACCCCATTACTGGATCTAGGAAAGGTAAAGCTGGATCACTGCCTACCAGACTCTTCTAGGAGCAAATTTTGCCCCCTCTGGCCCAGCAATTACACACTTCTTGGTATTATGTTTTGCCTGACAGGCATGGTAAGGATTTGGGTGAATCTGCTGCCTGAAATGGTACAGAGAAGATCATCACGTCTGTCCCATCTGCTCACTGGCCTCACCTTTGTGGCCTGCCTTTTATTTGTGAATTATGCCACCAGGTGAACAGCATAAAGTAACACTGCCTCCTTCCTTCCTTTGTTTGGCTTTGTGCAGTTAGGAAAGTATGTCCCACCGATTCTCACGCCAGGATAAACTGTGGCTTCCCTGGCATCACGGCGAAGGAGTGCGAAAGGAAAGGGTGCTGCTTCAGGTCACATCCTGCTGGTGTCCCCTGGTGCTTCTACCACCGCGTGGTGGAGGAAGGTAACATCCTGCACGAGACATTGTCCCCACATCCCTTCGGATGAATGATGGCTCCTGGCAGGTCCATGCTGCGCCAGTCCAGCGCAGAGGGAGGGTGTAGGAAAAGATCTCCCCCTCTTCCCAGTGTGGTGCAGAGCTTCCTCAGAGCATGAGTGGGGAAGTGGCTAAACCCTAAAAAGCCTGGCTTTGCACAGAGGGGTGGGTGTTGCCAATGCATCTGAGCGAGGGACTTGCAGGCAATGTGGCTGCACAGGTAATCTGGGCTCAGGTGTGAGCTCAAGCCCTAAGATAGCTTAATGGTAGAGGTGCAGCTACCAAACTGACATCTATTCTATCACAAGAGATCAAAAGCTTTGCTTTAGAAATGTGGAATGAAATGTACAGGAACTTCTGATCCTCTCCTATTTTTTAACTAGGATTGACTTTTCATCATATCTAACATAGCTAACCGACAGCCTCAGCCAATTTCAACCCACCCCACAGTGTATTTTGTACTGGAAACAATTCATCATAATTTGGTTTAACTGATCTGAATCACAGTTAGGAAACACACGTATAGATTGGGGTGGGGGGTGGGGGGAAGGAGCAATTGCTAAAAAATTGACGTTTTGATGTCCTGCATCTAGGCAAAACACTTCCTAGTACCTTGTGTAACTTGTGGAGAAAACACATCCCTTAATCTGCTTCTCCTTTTTACCTCCCCAGCTTGTTAAGTGAGAAACTTTCAACACAAACTCTGTGATCGCTGGATCTACACTAAAGGGAAATAAGAGCTGGAGGTCCCAACTCAGGCTTTATAGTTTGCAACAGCTATGTTTTCTAGGTAATTTTTACCTTGGATTGACTCCTTTCTGACAAAAAGTTACTTGCAGCTTTTATTCTTTCAGTAGGCTAGTACCGTGAAGGTTTTCACTGTAATAAAAGAACAATGACGTAATTTTTGAGTTCTCTGCTGTCTTTATTTTAAAGCAGTGTATTTCTCTGTTTCCCAGGAAATTTGGCATCTTAGCAACCCAGCAATAAGAGAGTAGTCACTAACACTTCCAAAAGGAACATGGCACTCAGCTTTTTGTGTTAGCTATGCTTCACACTCTCAAGTGACTGCTTGCATTTGTTAGCTGATACGTGGCTTCACATGGGCCACTTGGCCTTCTGAACACTGAAAATATTCAGTGTTCCCTACAGCAGCGGGTTTAGGCTTTTTTTCCCCCCTAGAGACATAGGGAAGGGAACCTTTGTCAGCTGACCACTGAGCTGGTCTGACCTGGACACCTCCTGTTCTCTGCATCACCATGTTTCTGGTGCTGCCAATCCCTTGCTGCTGCTACCAGCAGGGCATGGAGTAGCTCAGGAAGGCAGGTGCCCACTGCGTACCCTACTTAACCCAACACGGGCCCTGGCTGCTAGTGCAACATGCAGCCGAATCACTGGGCACTCTCGCTGTTAACCAGTGTCCCCACAAGCAGATCCATGGGTCATGATCAGTCTCTGCAACACTAAGATCAAGACACTGGTCCCCCTAGCTCTGACCTATAGATGAAATTGAGCCTGCTGTGTCTCACCAGACACAAAAGAAGCTCTTGGTCTCCAGGCCAGTGTGGCTGCTTTCTCCTGGGTGTCTTTAATGGTCAGCACAGCAGCTCCAATGTTTCCCTGCTTCAGCTGAGAGCACGGTGAAGAGCCTCTAACAGCACCACTGGGAGCAAAACAGGTAACGCAAGGCTGCCACAGCAGCAAGCCGTGCTTGGGGCTTAGCAGGAAAGAACAGTTGCAGAGGGTTGTGCTGCAAGGAGGGAGAAAAGGATGGAGACATTTGCCTCCTTAGAGATTTCGTTAAGTATGTTTTTGTGATAAATAAGTTTGTCCAAGCGGGTAAAAATTAGTCTTTCATAAAACTTAATTGTCTTGCACTTACAATAGTCTCAATAATATGACAAGAATATGGTAGGATATTGGTTGTAATATGAGCAATAAACCGACAAGTCTACTGAAGGTCTTTGAAGGTCTTTTCTGAAGAGGGTTTGGTGCTATGGCCCAGGTGAATTTGCAAGGCTTAAGCACAGTGTAATCACAATAATACTGTGCTGCAAAATCCGGAGCAACAATTAGGTGCATTCAACAGGAGTCTCACTGAGGGAAAGAATGAAAACACAGCCACACTGAATAGGACAACCCTAACTAGTGCTGTGAGAAATCAGCTGCTGGGACTGAATGTAGGCTGCCAGAGTCAGTGCTTTTCCAGGGCAGAGCTCTCACTAAGCCACACTTACTCACCAGAAGGTTTTTCCTTCACAGAGGCACTGACGACATGTGCAACATAGAGTGTAAGGGGGCATGTGGGGACTTCAGAGGGAGAGGCTCAGATGAAAGTGCTCCCTTCTCTTGCCTCAGCCTCCCAGATCTCTCTGTTGGGCTTGTGGCAGTGAAGCAGGTGCAGATCAGTGGTGCTGCTGTGGTGTCACAGCATTCTGGGGCTGTATTTGGCTTTGCAAGAAAAACTATGAACAAACATGTCTTAATAAGGGGGGTGGTGGGTACTGTGGGGTCTTCTGCTGGAAAATCTGACGGGAAAACATAGCCTGGCAAGGCACAGCAGCTGAAACTCCTGGGAACTGCTTGAGCTCCTCTGTTGAAATGGTCTGCATGTTGGCAGGGAGAAAACTAGTGGTGATGGTGCAGGGAATCCATGCTGACAGCAGTGTAACTCCAAAGGGATGAATCATGAAGGGCTGAACTTGCTCACTTGCTGCCCCTGGGCATGGTGTCCCCTGCAAAAACCATTAACTGCTGTGTGGTGAGCATCAAATCACTACCAGCATGCTAAGCCAGGGCGCTGTGTCATGCAGGTGCTCCAGACATTTGAGGTCAAAAACCAGAGTTAATTGTTTATAGCACAAAGAATTATGACCTAAGGATCTGTCATCATCAGTAAGCGCTAAGGGATGATGGCTACTCTGGCAATTCATATTAAGTAAGTGCTTGAGGTCTCTCTATGTAGACTTTTATCCACACCCACGCAAATGCACTTGAAAAGACTGCCTAGGATTCTTAAAATTCACATTTTTGGTGAGAAAACAAGCTGACAAACCAGATTAAAAGACACAGCTGCTGAGGATTTGAAGATGGCAAGCAGAGCCGAGGTAGAGCAAAGTGAAATCCCAAAACAGGAATGCGCACCAAAAAAGAGCATGCAGGACTTGATTCTTGCTTTCCTAGCCAACCTGGAGGCAGATACCCAGGAAAGACAAACCACTGCATGGGAACAGAGGCACCCTGGCTGCTGGCAATTGATTTCCTTTTGGAGCTCAGAGTCTGGCCAGCAGGTAGACAAGTAAATATGTGCAGTTCATTCCTTTATTTTGCATCAGTAGATTGACAATCTTCACTAGCTAATATGATTGAGAGAGCTTCAATTCATTAGGTTATGTGAAGTCTGTCCTTTCCTGTCCCTTCTCCATCTTTTTTTCTTCTTTTTGCTTGTAGGTAGCTCTATCTGGCACTAGGAAGAGAAATCAAAACAGAAACTTTAAAACTGTTTTTGGTGTTTCTGGCTGACTACCTAGTCAATCTGCATAACGGAAAGAAATCTGAGTGTACCCACAATGCCTTACGACCGATGGGTGGCCACAGAGGGTCATTTCAGATGTTCATCTAGCCCTTTGTCCACCAGCGACAAAAAAACATTGTCTAGAGAGAGGTGCAGGATAAGCATATAATGAGGCTTCTCTTCTGACAAAATGCAGAACTGTCACAAATGTGAATCAGTTTTAACAAGCAAATATGAGAAGCCCAAATGAAGACTTGCTTATTGTTTGCAGCTCTGCCATTCTACTTGCACAGCCATATCACTGGGAGGTGAGTGCTGAATAAGCAAAGTTCTGAATATTTTTCTGGGG